TCTCCGGGAGGCTTTATTAGGCAATGTTAAAGGGACAATCAGGTTTTGGGCGTCCTTATCACCCTCTTCAAGCACAGCATTCGATTATAATGCTCGCTTTCAGCCTTCAAGGGAGCATTTTAAGCCTTCAGCATGATCAGATGAGTGAGCTACGCACTCTCTGGACTAGACCCAATTACCATGGAAACTGTCTTCACACACATGTCTCACCACTTGTAAGGCACAGACATCACTTTGTATGGTTTCGAGGACCTTTTTATGCTCACATTTGAATTGCCTCTCTGATCACCACTTGGTTAGCCGCACTGGGTGCATTTGGTTGGTCAAAATTTCTGAACTCGATGGTACAGAATGCTACCAACAGGAGGACAGGCGCGATGTTGTGTTCTTGAGGTACCTAACCCAAGCGAAGAGGATCTCAACCAATTTTTTAGGCATGCCCAGTGTAGATCAACACTAGGCTAGGTTTATGGGTTTCGAGGTACACGCGAGACCCGGTTAGACGCCACCATCAGACGTCATAAATACGTGGATGCATCTGATTGGTCCAAATATCTCAGTTTGACGATGAAGACTTTGAAAAACACGTCTTCCCTAATATTGTGGATTTACCTCCTCACCAACGTTCTGCACTCCCTTCAACTGGTTACAGTGCAATCTTATGATTTAAGTATGGCTTTTATTTAAAAATAAAGTAATCAGTGGGTGGTGCAAACACCCAGTCGACCATTAGGAATGCGTCTGGCTGCAATCCACTTCATCAACTGAACTTCGGAGCCTGCAGCCATTTTGAGAATGAACTCTGCCCCAGGGTGTGGTGCTGCTGTTGTGAAGTTCGTGCCTCTCCACTGCAATGCAATTGTAAGGTAGTACAAACACTTTGTTGTCGAGAATTACTGCTCGACTCTGTGATGGCGCAGTCCATCCTGTTGAGAAGAGGTGGATGAATTGGAGGGCAAATCTGCCTCTGGGGATCGGTGATTTAAAGCAAAAGGCAGCTGTACAGAAAGGTTAATAAATCAAGGTAAGATGTGTAATTTTGTGAACAAGTGACCGACGGTCGTTCAAGTAAGGGGTTAGCAAGGTAAGGCGTTGAAAAGGACAAAACACGAATCGACCGCCATGAGGGATAAAATTAAACAAAACCTCTATAAAGCGTCCACACAATTTCCGTATTGTTTGCACAACCTTCAGCTTTATTGTATGATCAAATCGTAGAGGAGGAATGTTTCATGGCAAAAACAGCATTGCTTGTGTGAATTTTGTAACTTCAGGGTCAGTGGCAATGATGGGAGGTGCTGCATGCATAAAACTGCTTGGCAGCTGAGACACCGAGTGATTTGATTGTCAGTACGACCGGCGCTTCCTTTTAGTAGTCATCTTGCCTGTGGGTTGAACTAAAGTCCCTTTTCCTGTCCATCTCGCTAAATACGCAGCTCAGTCCTATCGCACACCTTCTACCGCCTGATGGAAGGTCTTGGAACGTTGAACTGGCAGCGGTGGAAAACTGACTTTACTTCTTTACCACTTCTGCCAATTTCTTCCACGTTTGTGTGTCAAACTTTTGTGGTGCGAATGAGGAGGATGGGAAGGAGTTCCACATTTTCCACATCAGAAGAGTTGAGAATGAAGCTTGTGTTTGACGTCTATCGAATCGTCGTGTTTTATCTGGATAAGCTTTGGTTTGGAGGTCTCCTAACCGATTTCTCGTATAGCTGCTGACGGTGACACGTTGTTGAGTGAACTTTCACGCTTCCTCATCGGACTGTGGAAACAGTTGATGGTCATACGAAGTACCCGATCCTAATGCTTGCATTCAGGTCGAATGTAACTCCACATCCAGTTTGATGAGAGCTGTTGAGAAGGTTAGACACATTCTTGCAGTCGCATGCGAGTTGATGACTGGCAGGACTGTCTTGTGACTGCTTCCCCACGGTTCTGAGAGGTGTACCAAGACAAGTGTTGGAGAGGAATCGAGAAACCACGAGTATCTTGTTTATTTGACAATCTATTTGACCGGCGGTGGTTTCTGGTCTCCCTGGAGCTCTTGGCTGCTGGCCAAGCCGTCTGCTTTTTGCGGTCTCCCACCTTCCTGAATAAAAGTGTTCGACTCCATCTAACGCCTCCAACCACCTAATTGGAGGGCTCTGATTGTTGAAATGTCACTTAAAACACCAATTTTATCCTCAATGGGCAATTTTACTAGCATTTTTCGGTATTTGTGAAGAGTTGAGAAGTATGTCCATCACCCACAAAATATATCGCTTTCAGTATTTGAATTGTTAATATAAGGAAGAACTCGCAAACACAAAATCATTTGGTCAGTCGTCATTAATTTTACTTCTGGCATCTCCCTTTCGCCTCATTCCATTTAGTAACTTCATCGACTAGTAGCTGAGCCCCTCCTCTGTCCCCTCCGCCTTCTTCTCCTCCTCATTTCCCCTCCCCTTGCTTCCTCCTCTTCTTCTCTGTCGTCTCCTCCTCCTCCTCCTCTAATTGCGACTATTTACTTAAACAATCGGTATCTGAGTCCTCCTCTCCTTTGTCGCCTACTCCTCCTCCTCCTCCTCCTTTTGTCTGCCGCCTCCTCTACCCCCGCTCCTCCTTCTTCTCTTCTCCTCACCCCACCTATTTACTTTAGCAATTTGTGTGTGAGATCCTCCTGCTGCTTCCCTCTCCTTCACTTCCCGCTCCTCCTTCTTTTGTGCCGCCTCCTCCTCCTCTTCCGATGCAGTTGCATTATTTATTCTGATTTAATGTTAGTGGAAACCATCAGCATTAGCATGCATAAATAAACTCCTCCGCACAATGACACATTGTTTTGTTATGCCTACTTCACCTTCCTCCTTTAAATGGAGCCATTTCCAGTAAAGGAATTCCCTACACCTGAGTTGACACCAACTTTACACTCACCCTTCACGTGTCCACGCACAGAGAATCACGAGGCCACCGAGTAAAGTACGAACACAATTGAGGAGATCACGTTCCTTAAATCAGTCTGCTGATTGCATTTTGTAGTGACAAATCTACGCTAAAGTGATATTTCCACCTTCAAGACGAGGGTTAGTTAATTTCTAATTTACGTGCTTATGTTTTTACCTCACCATCTTGCAACACTGAAGGTAATGAAGGCCTTTGGAGTATCAGTCCTGTGAAATTGTTTACATGACTGTCGAAGGCGATGCACACGTCAATGGAGACTGAAGAGGCGTCGAAGGTGAGGGAGTGAAGAGCTATTGCACTACTTTTCGCCTTTTTTTTTTTTTGGACCCACCTTGGAACCAATGCAAAAAGCGGAAAGGCAATCCACTAAATGCCCATCCTCCAAAGTCGAACACCTTGACCTTAGCGAGGTCAACAGACAGACTTAATTGGTACGCCACATACGACAGTCTCTCCTTCTAAATGCCTAACTCATCGCTTTGTTTATGTTCATTTTGGCCTAGAGATAGGATAAAATTTATGTGATCACACCATGTGTCCCAATTTAGCAACTGGTTGATGTAATTCCGATTCATCGTTACAGACGTTGTACTGAAAATAAGGGCGTATTGAGATGAAGGATTTAGTATCCACCCGCCGAAGAATTGAGGCTGCAGGTGTGAATCAGCTCCACAAAGAATCCTGTAAACTTACCAATCCACAATGTTTATTTAACTGTCTTTATGGTTGACAATCACTTTTTGATGATCATCTTGGTCTTGACTTCAAGGTCTAACAGTGTGGACCGAGTTGAAGCGCTGCGTCTTTTCCTCCTCTCTGATGAAATACTAGCAGTTAGACCTGCTTACTGTCGTCTTCTGCAAAAGGAGAAGTGGTGACTTTGCTACCACTTCGAGCCTCCTCTTCATCCGTTGTAACAAATTTACGCGATATCAGTGAAGTGCAAATGCATTGGACGGAAGGATGGCCAACTTCTCCACAACAGAGGGACTGAGAACGATGTCGGTGTTGGATTTCGGCCCAAACAACCAAACTGTTGCCAATTCAAGCAACACTGTTGTGAATCATTTGGAGGAGTTCTGTTTCGTAGTCGCGTACAAATGTCAGCTCGTACCACACGACAGTGCGTTGAATCGCATTTCTCCTGTCATGTCTCCCTCGTGGACCAATGCTACAATGTCTGCATTGGACGCACTTGATGGTCAACTGAAGTGCCCACTCATGGGAGCCGCTGAGGGGGTGGGGAAGACTCCGCGGTGCTGGTTTGTGGGTACTTTCCAGCAGCACCGAACACGTTATGATGGCTCGCGGTGGAGGTGTACGGGGGGAGGGCCTGGGAGGGAAGCACCAACGTACTACCTCATTTGCCAGACTACCTGTACGACTTTCTGTCACTTGGGTATTCACCTTGTTCTTGACTACGTGGGTTGGCAAGCCCAAGTCCCACACCTTCTCCCACCTAACGGAAAGTCTCGACACAGAATGGCAGAATGCCTCAACCAATCACCAAGTTGTCACCAATCTTAGACCACTCCACTTTACATTAATATCAGCTTTTCTACTCTCCAATGTAAACGCTGCAACTGACAGCACACCTTTCCTTTTGCATCTAATCAAAATACCTCGACATCTCATCATCAATTAGAGGAGATCAAACTAATCATCCCTTGGTGCCTCAAACTTCAAATTCGTGTAAGAAGTCCTCCTCCTCTGTGACCTTTAAAGAGCAAATCGTTGTGTAGGCACATTGGTGGTGGTAGTAGTCATCCATTCTGTCCCACATGCATTCATAGCCGATCTTATTAACAAGTACAATACATGTGAAAAAAAAGGGCAAGTGGAGAGCAAGAGGAGAGAAGGAATTGTGTCTGGTGAGAAAAGGGAAGAACACGGTGGTTTGATCATAAAAAAAAAACAGAGGAGAAGATACACACATTCACATACGCATACAAGTGTACAGACATGAGTTTGGTGACATCGGAGACAAATCACAGATTGGAAGAAGAAAAAAAGAAGAAAAAGGAGAAACAATTCGCATCTGCACATAGCCGTTGTTGCTACAACGGGAGGGAGAAGAGATCGTTAATATCCTCCACAGGTCGAGGAAGGAGAAGGCCTCTTCCATTGCCCCTTCTTATGACCTCTTCAAGGAGAGCTTTAAGGTAGTTGCGCGACCGATTGTGATCCTTCACAGCTGCTGGCGATAGACCGCACACCTCACCAGTGTCATCAATGACTACTGTGGGAGTTGAGGGAAGAGAAACTGCCTTCTTTCTCTTTCTATCACCTTTTACTCTGCCATTTTGTATTGTGTGATGTTCTCCGTGGCACTCAATTATCACCGATTCAGTCAACATCAATTTCATTCCGCTACAAGAAGCGGATCGAAATGGAAGATGATAGGAAGCCGGAGAGGATGAAAGAGACGAGGTGATAGCAACAGTGGTGGTGTTGGGTGGTTGAAAAACCTCATCTGGAGTGCTAGCAAGACTGCTGTAACCTGAGGAGACCTCTGACCTTGTCTCTCGCTCTGGCTCTGTTGCAATTGAAGCGACATTGCTCTCATCGATAAGGTACTCCACACAGAGGATCACCTCCTTTCCACTGCCGATGGCAAAGGCCGCCTCCATCTGTTCCACAATCCACAGACCTTGCCGCGAGATATAGAAGTAGAAGCGAGGACAATGGAGCTGCACTGCCATACTCAGTGCAAAATTCCGTCTGGCATGCTGACGACACAACACCCAACTTGTAGTAACGATGGGGTCGATGTCCTCTTTCTTCCCCTTCAAGCCAACTTCCACCTTCTTCGGAGTTGTACCACCGCAGTAGAGATCAATCGTCAAGTCTGCCGTCACCTCTCTGTGGAGGGGAGAGTACTGATAGGCGGCAAGCAGATTCTCCCTAGTCTAACATGAACAAAAATTAAATAAGTTATAAATGAACAGACTTTCAAGCAACAACCTACCATCGTCTGTGCATCGTCGAGAACACCTGGACTTGCACTCTTCTACAACCAAGAGAATAAAAGTGATAGACAAATGAATGCGGAAAAGGATGTGAAAAAAAAATTACTCTCCTTCCACGAGAAAAGCATCACAATAGATGACAGCGATCACTTCAATGCGAGTGCAAAACCGTATCACATGACAAGAATGATGACAACAGGAGGTTTAATTGTTTCGTGCTATGAACAAGACCATTACTAAGACTATCATAAAACAACTTCTCGTTTTCTCACTAGTCAAACCATTTATTTGTGTAGTACTTAATGCCTCCTCTTCTACCAAAAAAAAAGACAGGTTGGGGGGAGGAAGGGAGAGGGGAGGCAGAGAAAAAAAGGGAAGAATTGGAAAGATGAACTGCGTTTACAGCCCCAATGGAGGCGACTGAAATACTCAATCCTTTTAACTTCCCTTAAAATCGTTTAAGTAAGGCATGAAGTCACACAAGACACAAAAGTAGGCCACAATAAACGATTATGAAGGTATCGTCCAAGGATGCCTTCTGGTTATGTGTTTGCACATGTCCTAGTGAGTTGGAGAGTCTGTGAGTTAATGGAGCTAAAATGATGAAATTCCACAGTTCAGTGCACAAACACACATGAAAATAGGATTACACACATAATCGCATATCGGTGGGTTTTCGTGTGTGTGTGTGCGTGAGTAAGTAGTCATCTGCGTGGGAGTGGCACGTGTATTTGAGTACGCCTACTTGCATGGCTGACTTTTCAGCTGAAGGAGTAGTGAACAACGGTCTCACCTCTTGATCCCTCTTCAAATTATGCCTAAAAGTGGGACAAAGGTAGGAAGGGATGAGTTTACGAATTACATATAAATGTGAAATGGACACATAGCATGCAAATAACTGCAATTTACTTGTTTGAATGCGCGACTGACTGTTGATTCCTGGCAACTTTCTGAAAATAGTCCAAACAATATGAGAAAAGTGGTAAACATATGCCAGGAGGGATTGGAAGCAACTCACCCGACGATGTTGATAGAATGTTTTGATGTGGAGAAGGGCGTCTTCTAGTTGATCAAAGAAAAACACGTGGGGAAATCGTAGACCTTCCAGCCACTGATAGGCTGCCTCAATGCTCGCAGCCTCCCTGAAAGGGGAAAAAAGGATGCTAAAGGTAAAAGTCAGCAATGATAATGGACAAGAAGGGGAACAACACTCACGTGGGTGTAGTATGGAGAATAGTGGAACCATGAAACGTTGGAGTGGATGACGGAGAGGGTCGAACAATAAGGAGAAGGCGTGAACGACGATAACAGCTTGAGCAGTCGTTAACGTAGGGACGAGCGGCGAGATAGGCAACCTCCACAAGACTAGCCAGACCTCGAGTTAGATGCGGCTGGAAGACGAAGAGAAGACAGCTAGCGCATTCTTTCGCTGCTGCCTCCTGTGCTATCAGCTCCGGACACCACTCATCGAACTGCTATTCAACAGCCAAGGCGACACAAATGCACATAAAAATTTAGTCACCTACAACTACAGCTACTAAAAATGCACGTCAGCCACCGGCCTACGCAAATAGCAGTCCCCCCCTCCCACTGTTTCTGTTAATCGCCGGAAATACGCGGAGGAGAAGGTTACTAATTTTAGCAGTAACACAATCACTATTGCGACTAGCAACAAGGGATGTGACACAAAAACAGATGCTAAGTAACCTTCCACACATCGTTCTCTAATAACTCAAACGTGTAATGGATAGAGATGGCTAATGTACCATACAATTGGCCATAACGCCTACTTCCGAATACGTGACCTCGTTTAAATAGATTAAAATAAACTTTAGAGAATTTTAAAAAAACTATAGTTCGTGCGGACCAATATATGTGGTTGCAAGTATTCCTGGCTAATGAGGTGAGCACTAAGGTCTCTCAAAAGTTTACACCCACCTACACACAAGCTCACAAGCGCTCGCCAAAAGAGAGGCAGAAAGCGAGAGTGGGTGGTAGACATGCTTGTCAGAAGGCTCAAAAACTTGTGCAACATTTTAAGTAGTGTAGGAAGTATCTAAGATGTATTAACGGCAAAAAATAGCTCAGGTGAATAACCGAATTATGGATATTAGTGGCGAGACATGTTGCAGGAGCGAGACAAAGACCTACTGGGTTAAAGTAGGGAATCCTATTTGCCTCCAGAAAGGGGATAGCAATATCTTTCCGCCAAGTAGTAGGATTACAAGCACCACCGAGGAAAACTAAAAACATGCAAATAAAGATCGGTAAATATATACTAAAAAACGAGGAAATAAATGAAATACGAAAAGTACCTCCATCAAGGCGTTGACCCTGCATTGAAGCTGATCTTCTAAACAAAAGGAAAATTACTCACAATAAATACCTCAGTAGCAGAAATTAAGTGTGTTAGGCAAAGAGTAGAACGAGAACCAAAGACAAAGAGTTGCTATGCTCAACATCAGAGTTCTATCCACATCGAATTTCATCACTTAAGCATTAAAAACAACCTTCTGATACTTTCCAATACTAAAAAAATTAAGAAATATTTCAGAAGCCAGCCACATCAAATTCAAAACATGTAGCAACAGGTGGAAGATTTGCGCTTACTTTGGTGCTTCAGCGGCATAGAGGGTTTCAAAGACCATTCTTTTTGGCGAAATGCTACTCATAATTAGTCTAAAATATGACAAAATGCCAATATACACAGCCAAATTGATGACACGGCACTAGAACTACCCAGAGCCATATATAAATCTTAACTGAGCAAGCCGGTTAACCCTCAAGGTTACCCAGTCGTTAATTAAAAGAGATTACCACTTGATCTCTAATAGAATATGTCACCAAGTAACCACAACTAAGCCCTTGATGTCGCGATTGCCTTTTAAGAATAATTTTCATTTCCCAATAATAAAACGAATTTTTAGCCATCCCATTATGCAGATTTTGGAGCATTGCCTGCTTTTTAATATGAAAGAACACAGCGCCTTCAGTAAGCAGTAAATGGATAGGTACGTGGCTTGGCCCGGAGGCCTGACCACATATAAAGAGGCCAGGCAAATATCAAAGTAACCGCCAAACATTCGGTGTTTTCATGAAGTTCTACAATATGCCCTCCAAAGCGTTGGGTGTAAAATTTTCTACATGCATTTTACAAAATCAATGCAAATTTTAAAAAACACTTCGTTCTGGCACCCCTAAATTTCCCACAGGTTAGAGGAATTAGTAAGTGGAGCTGGATACATGGAGAACGTGGTAATTAGGTCCGAGCATGGCCCAAAGATTATTTCACGTGTATAATAGTCAATAAAAGTCTAAAGTGATTGCTAAACGTCAGATGATCACACAAACCAAGCAACGCGCTCATCGTTTGCTTTCCCACGTTCCAGCCTGGGTTACTAAATTTTGCGACCACCTACTGTATTTTTCAATTGGCTCTGCAGCAGTTCAAGTTTACCAAGACTATCTAGTCAGTATAAGAAGTCAGTAAATGCAGCAGAATATATGTATTCTGAGGACAACAAGGCAAATTATCCTGAGCATGGCCCGAAGGCCAGTCCACTTGTACAAGGGC